TATATATATAGATATAGATATAGATATAGATAGATAGATAGATAGATACGTACGTGTTTTTTTAATACATGAAGTTTCTGTGTGCCTGTATATGCTTTGCCCGTGGTAGATGCGCATGCCTTTTCGGTGTATGTGGTGTCTGTGCAGCAGTGCGTAAATGTGTTTTGTGTTGTGCCTGTATATGGATAGTGTCTATATATTATATAAGTGAATGCGATACTGAGTGCGAAAGTGAATGATCTGCGTATTTTGTGTATGTGCATTTCTTTACGGTCTATGTGCTGTCTATAAATATGCGTGTATGTGATGCGCGTTGTTCGCATAGATGTAGAGTGCGTGTGCGTACGTGGGCGCATGCCCCTGTGCATATGTGTGACTGTGTGTGTGTTTGTGAGATGTGTATTAGATAACGGCTCGGAATGGAAAATCGGAGAGAAGAGTTCGACTTCCTGCCTAGTTCGTTACACTCACATGCATATAATCTTTGGAAGGCTATGATTAATCTCTTCTGTCCCCCCCCACAGCTATGGATTGAATAGAAGGGCAGACTAGCTCGTATAGCCTTGATTGGCAACTAGTCTATATGAGAAGAAAATTCTGAATTCAAGCCATCAATTTATCATATATGGACTTTTATTTCAAATTGTCTTGCTCAAGGTACAGCACTATATGGTGTAATGCAGTACAATGTGGATCCTCTATATATATTTTTAAGAAAACGATCACGTAGAGGAGTCGTGTGATTGAGATAGTTTTCTAATAAAATGTGGGTTTCATGCGTGTATGTGTGTGGTCTGCTGTGTACTTCCCTGTGAATATATATATATATATATATATATATATATATATATATATATATATATAAAAAGTTAAAACATAACATAAATATGTTATGAAAATCATCTACAAAATATATTTTGTTTCAACACCAGAATATATAATATCAATCTATCTATCTATATATCTGTCTGTGTAGCCATCATATTCCATTCCTATATATATTACCCTTTTCATATCTATCTATCTATCTATCTATCTATCTATCTATCTATCTATCTATCGCAGTCTGTCTATTATCTATCTATATATTTATTCATCTCTCTCTCTCTCTCTCTCTCTCTATATATATATATATATATATATATATATATCAATCATTTCATATTTATCTATCTATCTATTCATCTATCTATCTGTCTGTCTATCTAGCCATCTCATGCCATTTATACCTATATATATATATAACTGAAAATTTTAAAATGATCAGCTTTCCGTTTAGCATGGTCACGTTGTCGTCACATGGGCGACGCTTTCAAAACGTATTCCTAAAAATTTTTGATTATTTTGAATGAAAAAGAAAATGAAAAGAATTCTATTAGGATCTAAAATTTTTATGTGTATGCTTGTCGAGCATTAATCTCGCTTATGTCCATCGTCTTTGTCAAATTGAACTGAATTGTATTTTAATGAATATTGTCCCGAAGAAGGTTTATTAAACCGAAACATCAGACCTCGACATTTCATTCATTTTAAACAACATAATTGCATTTAAGGATTTTTGTTTGTTTTTTTTCAAATTTTTTTCATTCTGTCGGATCTATATCCATTTACATTTGCTCTATATATATATATATATATATATATATATATATATATATATATATATATATATATATATATATATATATTTTGAATACCATCAAATTGATAATACATAATACAGCAGAAGTGTTGGCTATTTTGTAATAATTTTATAACATATTTATGTTATAATTTCGAATAAATTATATTTGCTCTACCTGTATTGAAAGCACTCTTTTAAGAATATTTTGTTGGTTATTGGAACTGATTCCGTATACCCTGCTTGGATACATGCATATATATATATATATATATATATATATATATATATATATATATAAACGTATATATTATATATATATAATATGTATTATATATGTGAATATATATATATACCGATAAATGTATATATAAGTGGGTTGGAAAAAGATGCGCTCTATTTCTTGAATATTCAGGCTGATGGACGAAAAAAATATACACTGTTAAATAAAGATACGGAGCGTCTACCCTAATACGGATATCCACTAAATATAACGTTTAAGTAATATAAATCTCTTGGATTAATAAATAAAGAAGCCATCCATTTCTTTAAAAACTGCTTTGTTCACGTTAAGATGCGTCTATTGCGAGAATCCGAGAAATAAGCGTGTTTAAAAGAATTATTGACCTCTGCTTGGTCATCGAGGCGCTCCGTAACCCAGAGGTCAAAAGCACGATGGTTTTTCCCTAGTGGAACGCAGGTTCGAAACCTGCCAGAGAGCTTTAATATTCTCGTTAGAAGAAAATTAATAAATATCAGTCAGTTATGTGCCAAGCACCTTTCAATACATCACTGACGAGGCAGATTTCTTTTTGTGCCGCAGTAGATTGCCATTTCTTTCTACGGTAGGCCATCTTGAATATGACAGCAAATAGAAGTACGAACAATGTAAATAGTGTAAATAATTACAATACTTCATCTAAGAAATATAGACAGATCCTGAAGAAGGTCGGGGTATATACCGGCTGAAACGTCGTGAATGTGACAGTAGAGGACAACACTCCGAACAATATAAATAGTGTAAATAATTACAATACATCATCTCAGAAATATAGACAGATCCTGAAGAGGGCCGTAGCGCTTAGGCGATCATGTATCTTTTGATACATGACTGACGAGAAAGATTTTTACCGCAGTAGTTCGGCATTTTTCTGCAGAAATAGACTATTTTTATAGCCAAGGCCATAGAACCCGGTCTGTCCTGCTATTTTAAAATATATCTGGGGGAAATAGTAGGGGATTCATAATGGATCCCAAGGGTATTAACACGTAAGTAAATATAATGGATTCGAAATAATAATTCGAATTCGCCCCTAATATTCGAACTCAGCCGCTAAACATTACTCCAATAATGATAAATAAACATACTGTTTAATAAACCAACTAAAAAAGTGAACATTGAGGTCAACGCCACGCGTGAACACAGTCTTCAGGCCATGTTGTTTTTTGTTTTTGATCGACTATTTATATATGCTGGATAGTGGTTCATTATGGGAAGCAGGTTTATAATATCAAAAACAAATAATAAAGAATTCAATAATAAGTAAGAAGGACTGATCTTCTCTAGTTTTAACATAACTAGCCTCACTCACTGAACCATTCGTATATATAATTTTCTTTTCACTATATCGCAGTTGTGTAATGGATAACAGCTCGGAATGGAAAATCAGAGAGAAGAGTTCGATTTCCTGTCTAGTTCGTTACACTCATTTACATGCAAATCATCTTGGGATTTGGTTTTGGCCAAAGAATTCTTTTTCTATTTTTGCATTAAGTCACCAAAATACCTTTTTTACTCAAAGAAAGCTCTGACATGAAATTTCTATTTGTATTGTATTCTCGGGAATCGTTCGAAATTTAAAACTAAAAGAAGTTCTCTGTTTACTAAAAATTTAAATAATTATATAAAAATGTTTTATCTCAACAGCGAACCAAGAGATCTGCCACTTAATAGGGGGAAGGATGGGAAAAATCAAATAAAAATGAAAGACAAAAAAAAAAATAAATTTAAAATTGCATATTTTAAAAGATAAAATGGAAAAATGTACCAAAGAATACAGTCCTAAAGTTTAAAAATGCCAAAAAATATTTTTAAAACAGGTAAAAAATGATCAAAAAAAGATTTCCTTGGAAACATCGAACGATCAATCTTGCCAATACTTCTCACTCGCACCAAGAGAATGTTTTCTCACCCACCTTTTAAATATATTTCGATGATATAGATATATATCCTTATATATATTCTGATATTATAAGAATTGATATTTAAAAAAAAGCATCTTTTGATAAGAGGATAAAAAGATCACCTTTATGAAACTCCTTTTGTCTTGTTCTCCACACCACGATTCGTATAATACCGAGCAGACAATCATGCATATGGACGTAGTTTGTTTAAACAATATTATATAGACGGAACTGGTTTCTAGGACAAAACATCTTCCGTAGCAAGACTTTAAATCTAGTCTTCATGCGCCCAATAATTCAGAATATAAATATAAAATCTGAGAAAATCAATGTCTTATAAACTTCCTTTGATTCCATATAGTTCGAAACTTTTATAAATAAAAAAGATTGTTCCACTGCGCAAACGTTTTACTCTTTACCCATATATCTCTTAACACCAGTTAGACAAATATAAAACCGTTAGGAATCAAGGCATTTATTTTTAATTGCCAAGGCGAAACGCAAAATGATTCCGTTTTCCTTTTCAGCCGAGCTTTTATATTAGATCATATTTACAATCCACCCTCACTATCATATCGATATAGCAGCCCAAAAAAATATAATTTAGCGCAAATAAAATGATCCTTCAACCGTAAGAGGGTGGCGTTTATAAATTTTGACAAATCGGTAAAAAGGGTTTCGTCTCAATCTATCGGTTAATAAAATAATCATATCCGTAATATACATATTCCAGGGACGGAAAAATATGATTAAATTTTTCTTCCAGAACTTGTCAATAATAATTTTCTTAACGTACATTCGTATTAATAAAAAAAATTTGAAACGCCTGTTGACAAATTTCAACGCTTAATATTCCAAGACCGCCTTCTTTAAATTGACATGTCAGACCTCGTTTTACCAAATTTTTAAAAACTCAATTGAAATTTTTAAAAAAATCCAAAAACTCCTTTCATTCGGCAGATGATATGGATGAATGGGGTTACGGGGGATAAATAAACCTGTCATATCTTCAAAATGATCCCCCCTATAAAAGGAAAGATTCCTTTTTAATTCCATAGACGCACTTATTCCTCATCTCCAGATCATCTCCAATCATCTGCAGTCCAGGAGTATCTTCACCGTCCCGTCTGTCCAACTTAGGGCCCGTTTTTTTATAAACTCTCATTCACACTTAACCGCAAAAAACCGCGACTGATTCTGATAATCGCCCTCGTCTGATACCTGCACATTTCAATGCTTTATTTTTTGAAACAGAAATAAATCATTTATTTTTTTTTTATTTGGTTTTAATTAGTGGCATTTAAAAAACATATTCTGTAAATTGCGCATTTTTTTTGTTAATGTTAAAATATATAGGCGTAAGCGGACAAATAAAAATACACCGGGACAATTTAAAACCTCAACCTCATCCCGTTTTTTAACCAATAATTCCACCGGGATTTAAATATTACTATATCTTTCTATAAATTGTTTATAACACGAAAACAGGCTCAATAAAATGGCCCACCTTATCGAGATTCCATTTGACTGATCCGATTTAATTTTTTCGATGATCAGGCGAACCAAATGAAGGTTGTCATCAATTTTTCTAATGTCATGAATGAACAAGTTTGTCCCCCCACCAGACAGACTTTTTTATACTAGTTTTGATCTTTGCCAAAATCTTCAACTTTGGATTTAAGGTATATCCATTACCTATCCCATTGTTAAAATACGTATTTGTTCTTATTTTTTGACCCAAATTTTAATATTATTAATTTTGACCTCTCCTTGACATTCCCTTTTCCATTCCTTAGACAAAGTGGCATGGGGAACGGTAAGAGCCAGCAGAGATTTCACAGACGGTTTTATTTGTCGTTGCTCCTTTTTGAAAAAATATATACATTTTTATTCTCTGACGGGGTTTTTGATCGACTGCTTAACATGTTGAACGCCATTCGGAAAACTTCTCCATATCCAGGATAAATAAATCAATGAACAGTCTTTTAGCTTTTTTTAATGTTTGGTTTTTCTATTCATCACAATGATTGATAATTGTTCATTTACGTTTATCAATATCTAAACGGTTTCCTAACGGAGCCTTTTTTGATTCTAACGTTTTTTTCCAAGACGATATATATAAATGCGACCAGATTTATAAAATGAATTTGGCCGAAGAGTTTTAAAAGATATTAAAATGTAAACGTCCGACTGGGTCAAGATTTTCAAATGAAAGAAATTGGTTTTTGATAGAAGTGTTTAACAGCTGCTTCAATGAAATGAAAAAAAAAATGTCAATTCTAAATCTTTTCATTTTTATCCACTTAAAATAATGTCCATCAGTCATATTTATAATTGTTGTAATTTTATTATTTATACTCATTCAATTAATTTTCAAAACTTTATTCATCTGAGAATATAAAATCCGATAATCATTTTATAGTCCCAGTAAACAGAAATATTTATAACAAAATACCATTCTTCTTTGGAAACCTCTCTAATAATTTTAAAAAATATTTTTTTTTAAAATGCGATCAGGTTTGTTCTTTTATTTTTTTTATTGCAGAATTCAATTATATAAATTATTCAATCATTAACTGAAGAATTTAGATTCATCAGAAAATTGAAAAATTGAAGATCGTTTATTTTCATTTTTTTTTAATTCATTTTTATTATTATTATTATTATTATTATTTTTATCATCATCATCATCATCCTCCTAACCATTATTATTATTATTATTATCATCATCATCATTATTATTGTTATTATTATCATTATTATTAATTATTTTTTCATTATCATCATCATTATTATTATTATTATTGTATATTATCATCATTTTATTATTTTATTTTTAAAACATTATCATCATCATCATTATCATTATTATTTTTATTATTATTATTATTAAATGTCCTTCTTTGTTTTGATCCTTAACTTTATATTTTATCTGTTTTTGAAAGCCCTTTCTTTATATGTATTTTCCTTATTCCTATGGCGATTTTCTGTTTTTCTGGCATGAAATTACCTAATGAAAAACTTTGATGTTTAAAATTTTAATCCTTTTCTCCACATAAACCCATAGCTTTTTTTATTATTATTATTGTTTTATTTTAATTATTAATAATAATACAATTAATAATTATTATTAATATTATTTATTATTATTTTATTTTTCTTTTATTTCTGGCGTTTACACATTTCTTTCCGGGTCCCGCCCAGGGACCTAAGGTTAGAAATGGCATCATGACACTTTTCACTGACAAAAAAAAAAAAAAATAAATAGATAAAGTAAAGTGTGGGCTGTACTTGTGAGAATAATTTTTTGTATCTCCTTGAGGCATTGACTACCAGGAATCCCTTCAATTAGTCTACTGGAATCTTTTCCAACCAGTCCTAGGGCTCCAACTACAACAGGGATTGTTGATGTTCCCATATGCCACATTTTCGAGATTTCTATTTCAAGGTCCTTGTATTTTGACAGCTTTTTGAATATCTTCAAAGATACATTGCAGTCAGCAGGGACTGCCATATCAATAAGGAGGCACCGTTTTTTTGTTTGTGGTCTTTAATAACAATATCTGGGCGGTTGGCTTTGATTGTTCTGTCAGTGTGTATTGTGTAGTCCCATAGAATTGTAACAGGTCCTATCTCCGTAACCGGGTCTGGGTGGTGTTCATACCAGTTTCTTTCAGTTTCCTTCCCGTAGAAGTTGCAGATTTTCCAGTGCAGATATTGGCCCACTCTGTCATGTCGGGTTTTATATTCAGTGGGTGCCAATATCGTGCAACCTGATACAAGATGATCAATCGTTTCTGGATATTTATCACAGAATCTGCATTTTGGGCTAACACAATATTTTAGTATATGTGCTTGATAATTTCTAGTTAACAAGCATTGGTCCTGTGCAGCAAGGATAAAACCTTCAGTTTTCAGCTTTTTAACCCTGCACTACGTAGCCACTGATGGGTACGGGTTTTGTCTACGTCAGCTTGTTTTTTACGGGCAGAAAAATTGGTCAGAATTTTTTATTTATCTTGCCATTGTTTCTGTATCTCAAATTTTTGACATTATTATTATTAATATTATTATTATTATTATTATTATTTTTTTATCCTTATTATTATTATTATTATTTGAATTTTTTTCTTTGAAATCTTATTTTTAGTTCATTTCTTTTTTAAATTATCTTAAGGGACCTAAGGTTAAATAAAAGAATTTTCATCTTTCACATTTCAATCAAAAAAAAAAAAAAAAAAAAAAAAAAGAATTAAATTACATAGATAAAGCCCTTCGTAAACTGTGGGCTGTTTCTTTTTTTTTTTTTTTGTCAATTGATTTTCATGGACTTCCAGGAATCCCATCAATTAGTTCTACTGCAATCTTTTCCAACCAGTTTGTTTATTATTCCAACTACAACAGGGATTGTTGATGTTCCCATTTTTATTATTTTTCGACATTTTATATTTCTTTTGGTCCTTTTATTTTACAACTTTTTCAAATATTTTTTAAGATACATTTTTTTTCAGAAATAACTGCCATATTTAATTTTTTACAGCACCGTTTTTAATTATTAAAAAAAATTTTTTCTTCTTTATATCCTGTAGAGCTGGGTTCATGAATGAAAGTTGGTCTTTTTTTTATTAATAGAAGAATTGCCATTTAATTGATAGTACTTTTCTTGGTATATATTTTTTTGACTAATAATTTCATCTTCTGGGCAACAATGAATATTGATGTTATTATACACACTGTTAGTAAAATTGTCCATTCCTTTTTCACGTGAAATTTTTATTATATTATTTAATATCCATATTATTTAATATTATTATTTATTATTATTATTATTATTGTTTGTTGCATGTCATGTTTCCTTTTTGTATCCTGTGAGAGTGATAAAAAAAGATGGTCAATATAAATGAACTGTCTGCGTTAGGAAGCTCTTGCCATTACACACTCAAAAATATATTTGAAACAATATTTTCATCGGACGAGCTAGACAAAATATAAAAGATCCCATGCGAAAGTCTATTTTAATTTTTTTGCCCGAATTTTATGGGCTCCAAATTTTTGGGATAGATTAAATTTTTTAATTTTTTCATCCTATCTCGTGGGGAGGCATAGATAAATATCATAAATATTCAGGCAAATTTTTTTTTTCAAATGAATAATGAAAAAAGAGGGCTTTGATATTTATTTATAAAATTCATTTTCTTTTATATATATATTTTTTTAAAGTTTTAATCTTCCTGTTTCATAGTTACAACATGGTTTGAAATACGTCTTTTCCTTTTTTCCCATCCACTGTTAAAAATTCTTCCTAGATGCTTAAACTCTGTCTATCTGGGCATCTCGCTGGAGTTACTGACTGAATAGTGAGTTCGATCCTCACTGGGTGCCCCAACTTTCGGCCATGTGCCAAATCTCAAATTTAATTATAGAAAATGAACACAGCTGAAAAAGGTTTCTTTTAAATGTATTTAAATCAACTTTAAAAATTAAAAATGTTAAATATTCTTCAGGTGAACTTTTGAGGAAATGTCAACACTGATGGCTTATTCTTTTATCTAGTATTAAATTTAATCAAAACACACCCTACAAAATGAATCTCAAGTCTTTACAACTATCAATCGAACAATTTCTAAAGGATTTGAAACTATGAGGCGCCTGCAACGACCAAAGCAATGGCTATTTATTATCAAAGAGACTTCAATAAAACAGTAAGCATTCAAATAAACAACACTCACAAAATGACCTCTTTCTCTACCCACGCTAATAACAGTAGCCGATAAATACTTAAATAAAAGATGGCTTAAGTTAAAGTGTATGTATATAAAAAATTTGGTATTAGTAAAAAAGACGAATAACCAAACCTGATGGGGAACGTGATAAGATCGTCGAAAACTTCTTATGGGGATGTTTTATTGCATGGCGCGCAAATCGGAGGCGGTTTTCTTTGAGGACCGGAAGTGCAATTCCGCCATGAAACTGGTGGCCTGATGAAAATGAATAGCGATTTGAAAGGTTATTCTTTAAAATGTTTTATCCTCGCATTCTTCTTCCTCCCTCTTGGCATCTTCAAATAATATTCAACCCATTGTTGCATTATTTAAAATCTCTTGTGCATTGATTTTGGACCAGAAGTTCAATCAAACAGAATCAATAAAGGGAACTTTTCCAGTTTTATCCATATAAAAATTCACTACATATCTA